CACCTTGCAGGTGGGAGCGGCAGGAGCGACACTAGTGGACACCTACGGTGTCAGGACTGGGTTCGTCGGTGTGGCACCAATGCCGTGCGATGCACAGACAGAAATCATCGTGACAACAGGATTCGTAACAAACACAAGAATAGTAATAGTAATAGTAACACGAGTAATAGGAATAATCACGATCATCATCACCAACATCATCATCATCATCATATACTAAACCCTAAACCCTAAACCCTAAACCCTAAATCATCATCATCATATACTGTAACATACCGGCATTCCTCGGAGGACCAAGGGCCAAGCCGAGCTTCAAAGCGCCTTGGATGGCGAGTGCGGCACGCGAGGCTTTCCGCAGACGTTGGTGGACGCCCGGCGGTTTAGGGTTTAGGGTTTAGGGTTTAGGGTTTGAATGAGGTAGGCAGAAAGAAGTATAAGATGGCATACTATAGCATACTATACTATACTCTACCATACTATACTATACTGTACTATACTATACTATATTCTACTATACAAAATAATACTTTACTATACTGAACTTGCACCTTGGGCTTTTGACATTCACCGATGGAAAAGTCGTGCCCTTCGGAGGAAGGTCTCCAAAGCGCAGAAGATGCCGTGGCTCATCGTGCGAGCGCCACCGACCTCAGCAGCTCCCTGGTGCAAATGGATTTATGGGTAGTTCTCTAAATTAGGGTGCCTTTGGGGTCCTTTTTATCAGGGTGCCGCACTATAGCTTGCTATACCATGCTATACCATACTACACAGGATTTAGGGTGTTGGGACCCTATGTAACTCGAACCTTTATATGGGTAGTTCTCTAAAATAGGGTCCCTTTTGGGGTCCTTGTTATAAGGGTGCCGTAGTATATTGGGGACCTAAAGAGGGGACCCGAATTTAGAGAACTACCCTTATGCATGTGCAAAAATGAAGCATGTCTGGAAGCGCCCCAGGTCACTTCGCCTTCGCAGGGGCGAACCAGGATTTGACGCTACGGCCAATGAAGGTGCCGCACGATTGGAGACAGCGCTGACGGAGAGCTGAGACATAATCGAGTGCACGTGAGCGAGGCTGTTCATGCCTCATCCTACCAAGGCGGGTACTCTTGTGGCCTGCTACTGCGGTGGAATCTCAGTGCAGGGCACCTGCGGCGCCACCTGGAGACTTGGCGGAAAGAGCTTCGTGGCAAAGCGGCCAAGCATGGCCCATCTCCACTTGCTCCAAGTACTTGGAGGATCATGGGACTTATTCACTAGGGTTCTAAATGCGGTAACTATAATTATAACCCCAATTAGGGTACTTAGAAACCTTACTAAAATAAGGTAACTATAGTTATAACCCCAACTAGGGTACAAAAGACCTTACTAAGTCCCATGATCCTCCAAGTACGCCTCCTTCGACTGCTTTTGCTCGACTCTGCTTCTGCTCCTTGCGCTTCGCGTTCAGGGCTCTCGCTGGAACTTGGTCACTATAAGATGTAATGCAAAAGAAGTATATGCTAGTGTACTATGCTACAGTATGGCATACGATGGCTCTACTATTTTTACGATGCTAGCGTTTACTGTTTACAGTGCGGCTGAGGTTATTTGCAGGGCTTCTGCAGATTGCCGGCCCCAGGGGTGGACAGGCGCGGAGCGTTTGGAAGAGGCTGAGTGAGAGACGGGGAAAATAGTCAGAATAATCATAACTTTAAGATGCAAAAAAAGATATCATAAGACTCCAATCACAAGCATACTCATATTAATAGTGCTTGTGATGAGAATGGTAGCAATAATAATGTTTATAACACTAATTACTAATAATGATAGTGACACTAATGATAAGAATGATGATGCTAGCAATAGCAATAGTCATAGTCATTGCAATCGTAAAAGTACTAGTACTATTACTCGGAATAGGAGTAGGAACAGGAAGAGGAATAGTAGTAACAATGATACTAATGATAGTACCATAACATAGTACCATAACAATAATAGTGACAATCATATCAATAATCAGAACAGCAATAAACATATCAAGCTAATCGCAATAACAATGTCTAAGGATAAGGGCACGACGGGTTTGGGCGGTTGACGTTTTCCTGAGTGGTCAAGGTCAGAGAAGGATATAGCAAGATACAGCAAGTGTCAAGTCATGAAGCTGCAAAATGCTGCTGCTGCCCTCAGGCTTGGGTGTTTCCGACCAGACTTCTCGTCGGCCTGCACGACATTGCAGGCCCACAATGCGAGTTCGTCGCACGCAGGGGCCAACAAGCCAGAGCAATGCTCACGAGGTGAAGCGCCTGCAGGAAAAACCTCCTGCAAACATCTGAAAAAACGCTCGCTTGAAGAGGCTGGGGCTTCAAGGTCACAGACAACCTCCGCCTGGTAACCTCAAGCGCACTTTGCGCCGCCTGGCTCTTCGAAACCTTCGGGGTGCAGTCGGGATGTCCGAAGCTTTCCATGTCTTTGGTGGCTGGGTGTGCGATTCGGTTGTGCAGTTTTTCCGAGATTTCACATTAAGCCATCTTTGCCTAAATGCAGAAGGACAGCAAGACATTCACACGTTGTGACGAAGTCGACCAATGGTGGAATCATTTGCAGCACATGACTATCGGGAAGCACGTAATGGCACTGCGCCATGCCCATGGCTAGCCAGGAAGACAGTACTATGGCGAGGCTGTTAGATCTAACATCTGTAGGTTGTGGAACGAAGCCACGCATACTTACAGTCATTATTCTTGCAAACATGTAGCATGTTGTTTGTTGTATACCATGATGCTGTATTGCACCATGACATGCCAGATAATTTTATACAATCTGATGCACCACCACAACAGAATACAAAAGAATATGATTTAGTGAAGCACCAGGCTCCTCCAGACCTGTGGCGCTAGGATGTGCTGCTATCACAGCCTGGCTGTTTAGCGCAGTGGCATATCCCCGCAGGATGTCGTAACCTAGGGGCACTTTGGTGATAACTAGTATGACATTTAGGCAGAACATAGAACTACCCTAAACCCAAACCCTCCGAGTAGTCCAAACCCAAAGCCCTACAGTACACCACAACGTAGTGTCTCGGTGATTCTGCCGGCCGCTACGAAGGACGGGAGCGACGTGCCCGGAAGTGCGTGGAATCCAGAAGGTACCACTGCCGTCAAGGCGGCCTGGGTTGGTGAAGGCCGTGTGCGAAAGTGACTTTGACGGTCGCCTGCCTTTTCAGGTCGGATGCCCCTATGGCGTCAATTCCTCCAAGGTTTGTGAGCCGTCATCGGTGAACGAGATGTTGCCTGTGCACTTTGGCATGGACGTAGGAATTCAGCTGAAAGCTGCTCTCCCGAGTTCGCAGTGCGACGCGGCCGGCTGAGCGGGTGAGAAGAATAGAAACTTGCTCCCAGGCAGCTTTCAGACAACCTGCGGACCGGAGTAAGCATCGTGCGCTGGCACCTGGGCAGAGAGCAACCCTTTGCCATTTTGCAGCGACTGGTAGTGATGGCAATCGTACGGGACGAGAGCATATCCGCTTAGTCGCAGGATGTGGGAAATATGCTGACGACTTGAAACCATGCGGTTCTGCGAGCTCATCGTCCAAACCTTAAATTGAGGCTGCTCGAGGGGCCACACAGCAGCGTGCTGACGTTTTCCAGCCCCGTGACGGGCCTCCTGCGAGATGGCGATGCATTTTGGCTGGGCACAGATCGAATTTGGGACTTCAGACTTCGGCAAGGCGTCTTTGGTGCCAGCCTGCCCAGATTTGTTCTGCCAATCTGCGACCTAGGCAATCTACATCGAGCCGAACAGCATTCTCGTCGACGGCCGAGGTCTCGCTGCAACTCGCTCTTGGGTCAAGGGGGGAGCGGCTAGGGGGCTGGAGCTGGAGCCAGGTGCAAATTTCAGTTGCTCTAATTCCAGACAGCAATGTTGCCGTGCTCATGTTTCCATGACATGAACCCCAGCTCGGACCGTTGAGACCTTGGGTGCTCCTAAACTCTGAATGGCTCGAGCCAAGGCCATGACGGATACGGAAAGATTCCATGCTATGGCCCTGACAGGGATGGGCCAGTTCCAGGAGCAAACCGTTAGATGCAAGCGCAAGCTTCTCCATGCGATGCTGTAAAGGACCATGTCAAAAGGGGTTCAGCATCCAGACTCCTGGCACCAGGATGATGGCACGAACTTTCTACGGCACTGGCATTACGTGCAGCTGCTGACCGCCAATGAGAATGGTCTGTCAGCAACATCGAAGGCCAAGGGGGTTACAGAGCTGTGGAGGTGAGGTCGAGGTCATGCTGGCGCGTGCTTTGGATGCCTTTCCTCTGCATCTCAGATGTTTCAGGTACGAATACCAGTGGGGTGGCCGGAGGCACGGCATTCGTACATCAGAGGATGCTGTGCTTTGTTTCCAAAGCTGTCAAGAAAGCGCAATGTAGATGAGTGCAGCGTAGACGCGCTCGTTTCAGGACGTGGAAAGGCCAGTGATCGAGCTGTCCAGCAATCAGTTGCAGCATCTCGGCTCCAACTTTTACCGCCAGCGCGGGCAGATGAAAAGCATTGGGGCTAGAGAAGTCGAAAGGGGGAGGCTCGCCAAAGACAGGCCACGCACACACTACCTTCGCTGTGTAGCTGTTTTCCTTCTGATTTGGGCTGAGGTGGTATCGAAGCAACGTGATGAATTCGCAGGAGGAGTTCAGAGCAAACGGCGTTGTGGCGGACTTGAAGGCCCCAAAGTAGGGGATGCAACAAGCATCAGTTGGGCATTACTAGCGACCTGCTCCCAGGTGTGCTGGGCACCCAACGAGTAACTCGACAGCAGTGTTTCTCCTGTTCCTGGCAGTCCTAGCAAGTACTTCCAATCCGACACGAGTGTCCGAAAGGCTTCGGTGCCCCTGCTAGTGCCATCGCAATTCCTGACGCTCATGTGACGAGGTTTGTGAATGCCTGCACATGGGCTCATGGGCTCAAGCGACGCAGTCACCGATTCTCAGGTTTTTGCTCCGAAGGCTTTTCCGACTCCTAGCCATGGCCAAGGCTATCCTCGAGGCGTTGAAAGCAACGGGTGCCAGCGATGTTTCCAAGGCGATCGAGGCCGTCTCTGCCGGCCTCTTCAAGATCAAGACGCTGACGGGCCGTGAGATCCTGGACTCGCGTGGTAACCCCACGGTGGAGGTGGATCTCACCACTGAGGGCGGCGTCACCGTGACTGCCGCAGTGCCCAGTGGCGCCTCCACGGGCGTGCATGAGGCCTGTGAGCTTCGCGATGGTGACAAGACGCGCTACTTGGGGAAGGGTGTCCTGAAGGCTGTGGAGTCGGTGAATACCGTTCTCAGCACGGAGCTGAAGGGATTCGATGTTTCCAAGCAGAAGGAGCTGGATGACAAGATGATTGCGCTCGATGGCACGCCCAACAAGAGCAAGCTTGGCGCCAACGCCATTTTGGGCGTCTCCATGGCGGCGGCCAAGGCCGCCGCACAGGCCAAGGGCATCCCTTTGTACCAGCACTTCGCGGAGTTGGCCGGCAACGGGTCGAAGCTCACTTTGCCGGTGCCCTGCTTCAACGTGATCAATGGCGGCTCCCATGCAGGCAACAAGCTGGCCTTCCAGGAGTACTTCATCATCCCGGTTGGAGCATCCTCCTTCAAGGACGCCATGCGCATCGGATCGGAGTGCTATCACACCCTGAAGGGCATCATCAAGAAAAAGTTCGGTGGCGATGCAACCCTTATTGGAGATGAGGGTGGTTTCGCGCCCCCCTGCGATGCCAAGCAGGGTGTGGAGCTCATCATGGAGGCCATCGAGAAGGCAGGGTACAAGGACAAGTGCAAGATTGGAATGGACGTGGCAGCATCCGAGTTCAAGGTGGAGGGAGCAGACTGCTACGACCTCGGAACTTGGTATGCCGAGGCGGAGAAGACCCCTGATCTCAAGATGACCGGGGTCCAGCTCGCCGACTTCTACGCCGACCTCTGCAAGAACTACCCATTGATCACCATCGAGGACCCTTTTGATCAAGACGACTGGGCGGCATGGACGGCCTTCACCGAGAAAGTGGGTGGACCCACGCAGGTGGTCGGAGACGACCTGACCGTCACCAATGTCACTCGCGTCAAGAAGGCCATCGATGACAAGGCCTGCAACGCTTTGCTTTTGAAGGTGAACCAGATCGGCACAGTGTCCGAGTCCATCGATGCCGTGAAGCTTTGCAAGGTGAACGGATGGGGTGTGATGTGCTCCCACCGCTCCGGAGAGACGGAGGACACTACGATTGCCGACTTGGCTGTGGGTCTCTGCACCGGTCAGATCAAGACTGGTGCACCCTGTCGCTCCGACCGCAATGCGAAGTACAATCAGCTCATGCGCATCGAAGAGGAGCTTGGTGACAAGTGCGCCTATGCCGGAGAGAGTTGGCGCAAGCCGGTTTGGATGGCCTAAGCGCCCAGGGGCCCAAGGCCCGTCACGGCTCTGTCTCCCGCCTATTTCCCCCTGCCACCTGAGATCAGAGCGCAGGCAGCTTCAAGGTAAGTTGCCTGCCAAAAATGCTCGCGAGATCAGAGACAGATCGTGGCTTCATGCTTCATAATACATGTAGTAAAACATTTAACTTTAATACATGTTACAGGGCTCTTTGTCCGTATTTAGTTTCACATTGCATCTTCCTGAAGCCTAGATGATTTCCATTGTGTTTGAAGGTGGCAGAAGATGCAGAGAACGAGCCAATTTTGACATCGATTTGTCAGCAGTGACAGGGCTGCTTCCCTATCAGCTGAGCTGGAGTTCAGCTGATGTGCTGGATCGGGCAGATACGGTTGGAATAGAAAGTAGCTATGGGCATTCCTAAAAGGTGATATAGGGGCCTTGATAATTTAATTAGAATAGGGTTTGGGGGTTAGTATACTATAATTATAATAAGGAACCCCAAAACCCTGCTCTAAAAATAAAGACCCCTACATTACTGCTGGTCTAGGCCTGGGTTTCTGTCTCTTGCCAGCCACCATTTTCAAGAGGCCGCGTGCACAATGCCTCGGACCAGCTTTCAAAGAGAAAAGCTACGCTTGGTCCCAGCCAGCCACGTACACTCGGCACTGGGATCGCCGTGATTTTTTTAATTTATCTACCTATCAATCTATCTATCTAGGTAGCTAGCTAGCTAGCTAGCTAGCTCGCTTTCTATCGATCTGTCTGTTCATCTCCCTCTCGATCTATCCACCTACCTACCTGTGTTTCTTCCTTGTACTACTTCTACCGCGACACACACGCATACCACATGCTTGTGTGTACAATTGGCTTTATATGGAACAGCATTGCTAGGCACCTCTAGCCCGAAACCGTTTTACTTATACCCCAAACTCTAAAGCCAAACCCTGAACCCAAAACCCTAAACTCCAAAAACAACCCTAAACCCTGAACCCTAAACCCTAATCTCTGCCATGCGAGAGGGAAAAAAACCCTGAACCCTAGAACCCTAAACCCTCTACCCTCAAGCCTAGAGCCTCCTCTGGAAGCCATGGCCCTGGGCCTCGTCTTAACTACGGGGCCCCCGGTGCAGCAGGAGGCCGAGGAGGACTTTGCGAGCCGGTTCGGGGTCAGCCTTCCGGTTTTGGTCTCCATCTGTCTCTAGGTGGGCACTTTGGGAGACTCTTTAATTCTATATTTTCGATGGTTCTAACAAGAGGTAGGCTATTCAAAGATAGTTTTCAGGCCCCAAAACGACAATTCAGGTCTGGGTGTTGGCATCTGTGGTTTGCTTTGCCTCTGCATGCTCTGTCCGATCCTGGCCAGTCCTCGGACGCTGAACATCTTCCGTGTGAATGCGCCCGAGCGCATGGACGCGAAGAAGATGAAGCAGTTGGACAGCATCTTGAAGATGAGGCGGGAGGTGAAGAACCTGGAAACCCAAGTCCGGGAGCACGCGACCGCGACAGACGATTGGGGCATGTCACACAAGGTGCAAAGCGAAGAGCAGAGGATGCTCGAGCGAGAGCTGGATCGCAAGCGAAAGCAGCAAGCCAAGATGGAACAAACTGCCGAATCCGGTGAGCAGAAGGAAGTCAAGAAAGAAGAGCAAGTGCAAAGGAAACGAGCCGACGACGAGCGATATCGTCGCATGAAGGAGGCCTACCGGCCCAAGACCATCGCCGTGGACGGCGTGGCGCTGGGAGCCCCGGAGTCGGTGCTCCTCGAACTGGGCTTCGAGCCGGAAGCACTGGAGGCTTTCTCCATGCCAGGCTTTTCCAGCGCTGACGGAAACCCCGTGGCAGGATTCGAGGATGAGGACGAGGAGGCTGTGGAAAATGAGGACGAGACTGGTCCTCCGCCGCCTCTGGATGATGAGGCGTCAGAAGAAGCTTTTGACCTGGCTGCCCTTGAGGCGGCGGCTCGGAACGCGAAGTTCGACGACGTGGCACTGCGCATGCCTCCTGAGCTAGACGAGGCTCCAAACATTGCCAGGGAGGGCGCTGGCCTCAAGCGCCGAGGGGCCATGGCAGGTCCCAAGGAGGGCAGGCCCATGGACGCAGAGCTGCTAGAGCGCGCTCAGCGGAAGGCTGCTGGCCTCAAGGTTGGGGCCGAAATACACGAAGAGCGCGAGGTGGACAAGTGGATCGGATCTGGCTCACAGCCCTCATCAAAGGCAGACTCTTACCGCCAAGCGAGCAACGCGCAGCTGCTGGACTGGGATGCACTGGATGTGGACAAGGAGGCGCTGAAAAAGGAGAAGATCAGGGAACAGGCCAAGGCTACCTTGGCGAAGCAGCGGCTCCGAGCCATCACGGAAGGTGACAAGAAGGACGCCCTAGCTGCGGTGGAGTCCGACGACTCGCAGGACGAGGACATCGAGGAGAAGCTGGGGCGAGCTGCTGCACCCATGGCAGAGGGTGCCCTCATGAGCGTCTTCATCAAGAAGGAGCCGGCCAAGGCCACACAGGCCCATGAGGTGCAGTGGCCCGCGGAAGAGCTCGAAAAGCTGGCCTTCCCCGTCCCCGAGGTCCAGGCAGCTGGGGATGCCCACGAAACGGCCGCTGCCAGTGGCGCGGCGGGGTCGCAGCAGGCGTATCACGGAAAGGTGCACGCTGGCATGCCTGTCCGCCCTCGCGGCCTTGGCACCCCCCGTCGAGATATGCTTGTTGGGGAGGTTTATCGGAGCTCCCTGGATGCGTCGACGCTGACCAAAGATGGCTTGCCATGGGGCCGCTTTCACTCGACGAAGCCGCACTACCGGACTCCGGAGGAGAAGGCGGAAGCCGTCAAGTCGGAAAAGCAGATGGGCTTCTTCCAGCGGATGTTTGGAGGTGGGGACGAAGCCGACTGCGAGGTGGTGGAATAGCCTGGCACCCAAGCTCCCTCGAAGCCTACGAACCCGTGATACCGAGCGGCGCGCGCTCGGCCTCGGCAAGCCGCCAAAAGCCGGAAGGCGGCTCACCGCCACGGACTCCGGAGCCAAGCTTTCAGCAGGTCTTCACCAGCCCCATTCGGGCGCATGGAACCGCAGAATCGTCCATGGCTCCGCTTGTACATACGGTTACATACGAACATCCGACAGTGTGGATCCGGTGGCAGAGGCAGCACAGGAGGTTAGGTTGGATTGAATGAGTGCTCGGGATACCAATGCCAAGATTCCAAAATGCTCCCGGATCTCTTGGACTTCGCTGGAGTGGCTACAATGGCGGTGTATGCGGGATTTTTGTAAAGTGGAGATTCAGTTTTCGGGTTTGCACCGAAGAGGGCCACACGTGCCCGCGCTTTCTCCTGGGGGCCGATGTCGTCGATGAGTTGATTGCAGTGGCTCTTGTAGTCTGCAAGATGGACGTCGTGCTTGTCGATTGTTGGGTGAGCGTATCGTATAGCTCAAACACATCTGTGGATTCCGAGGTTTTTTGTTGGTTGGAGGATTCAGTCTTCCGTCTCACTTACTTTCTCACGTCAGTCGGCGCACTGGAAGCCGTGCCTGCATTGTGCGAGTGTGCGAAAAGCCTGAGCCCCAAACCCTCTCCGCACATAGTTGGGATCCGTGCCTGCCTTGTGCGAGTGTGCGAGTCGAAACCCTCTCTAGTGTTGCGACCAAGAAACGGGCTCTCGTTCTTCTACGGCGATGTGGGGCGGGCCACTTTCGCCGAGCCGCCCGAGCTCTTAGGCCTGGGGCAAAGCTCACGCGGCTTTTCCAGCTCGGGTTTTTTTTTGGGGTTTTCAGGTGATGTTTCAGGGTTCAGGGTTTCCCGGCTGCTTGCAAGAGTCCTGGATGCAAAAAATGGTTTGACAACGAGGCCTGTTGCAACAAGGGTCCAGTGGACTCACGCTGGGATTTCAGGTTCGTTGGAGTCCCCTGCTCAAATGAGGAAGCGTGGGCTTTTGCGATGATAAAACCTGTTGCGCGTTGTTGTGGGCTTCACAACAAAGAGCTTTCGATGCAGTTGCGCAATGCGCCTTTCGGGGCGCCAATGCAAGTAAGTTGCGCTGATGCTAAGCCCAGAGAGCCCAATACCCTTAGTTAAGGAATATACCTTAAATCATAATATGAGGGCCCCTATAATTTAAGGTATATTCCTTATTTAAGGGGTATTGGGCTCTCTGGGAGACACAGCACAGGGTGGGGAGCCCGGGCCCTGTCGCCATGGAAGGTGCGCGGCTTGCTCTGACGACCCGCCTTTCAGGAGCATCAGGGCAGGTGTCCTGGCAAGGGACGTGGTGGAGAAGTTTTAATATTTGCATATACGTATAGATAAGTTGGTACATATGTGTTGGTATATGTATATGCATATGTACAAGTTTATATCGAGAATGGGCACATCCATACATGCATGCATGCACGCATGCCTGCATTGATGCATAATTCTATGCATGCATATATGACCACATACGCAAGCACACAGGTACCTACCACACGCACATAAACACAGACATCCATCCATGCATCCATCTGTCCGTCCGTCCATCCGTCCGTCCGTCAATCCGTCCATCCGTCCATCCGTCCATCCGTGCATCCGTGCATCCGTCCATCCGTCCATCCCTCAATCCCTCCGTCCAGCCAATCCATCCATCCATCCATTCATTCATTCACGCGTGCATGCATGCATGCATGCATGCATGCATGCATGCATGCATGCATGCATGCATGCTTGAATGCATGAATGCATGCCAAGCACACATACGCGGGGATATGCATACCCACAAAAACACACCCACACATACTGGCACATATTTACACAAACAAATGCGCAGACAAAGTACGGATACATACGTACATACAGGCATACGTACATGCGTACATACATACATACATACATACATACTTACTTACTTACTTACTTACTTACTTACATACATACATACATACATACATACATACACACACACACACACATACATACATACATACAT